GGTTCCTCTCCCGTCAGAGTCATCATCCACATACCGTAAGCAGCAAAACACGCAAAACTGCAAAACACCGCAGAATCCTGAGTCTCATTATGAAGCGCCCTACATGCAGCGAAGCCCGAGGTTCGGGCGCAGGATCCTGAGGGAGGGGAGCCACGACGCCCTCTCGGTGCCGTCGCGGAGTCACCTCAAGACTCGCTCTCTAGGGTTTAGCGTTTAGGGTTTGAGGCTTAGGGTTTAGGATTGTGGCCCAAACCTTTCCCGTGGCTTCTGAATGGTAACTTAAAAAAGGATGCTTGCAGCGGGGATCCTACGATTTAATGTCTATTCTATACTTGGGCTTCGGGGGTGACGAACGGTAACCATAGAACTGCGAAGACGAATCATGGTTGGAGCGGTCCTCACTAGTCTTGCTCCTACGGCACTTCATGTGTAGGAGATCCGCCAGCCATATTTCCTGCGACTTTGCTTATGAAAATTGCTGTTCATGTCGAACTTGTTGTCAGTGTCATGACTGAAAAGCGAAACGTGGGAAGCAGTTGCCGCAGCAATAGCAGGTGCTGCATGAGCAGCGGCAGCAGCGGCAGCAGCAGCGGTCCTCTTTCTCGTCCTCCTCCTACTGCTACTGCTACTACTACCACCAGCCCCAGCCCTAGCCAGAAACTCGCCCAAGGCTTGGGCCACTATTCTGGGATGAAGGCCAGAGACCTTCGACGAGAGGGTGCCAGCAAGGCTGCTCTTAAGCTTAGGGAACTTTTATGAAGTTGACTACGAGGCTTTGCTACTTGGACTATAGAGTTCATATACATATGGCTGATTAGGTTTACAGGGATTGCTCGGGTTCGGGTTAGAATAGGGTGGGAGGGTGTACGGGTACGACTTCAGAGGTCATTGTCTGGGGGCTCGGGGTTGGGGTTTGCGCGTTTGCAGTTAACGGTTTAAATTATCAGGCCTTTTGGGCTTTGGAATCTTGGATATTTGGTTTACCCCACAGGCTGTGGTGTCTAAGGATTACATGAGCTCATGCGCATGTTTCGCGTGTATGGTCGCTGCTCGTATGGAAGTCTGGGTCTCTTGAAGACTGCGGCCTAGGCCTGAGGCCGAAAGTTTGAAGCTGCCGGATTCAGGCTTAGATACACTCACGCTTGAATGCGTGCTCGCCTGTAGGCTTTGGGATATCGAGTTGAAGCGTCTACTTACGGCTTTATGCGTGTAGGGTTCAGGGTGGTTCCGGAGTATCGGAGTTCAGCATTTTCACTGACAAACTGGCCTCCAACGACAAACGCCCCCCGATCGAAACTCCCTGAATTACATCCAGTGACGAGAGGCTAGACGATGTAAGTCACAAAACTCCCTGTGAAGATCCCCCCCTAACAGGGCCGTAGAGAAGCCCCTGCTCAAACTCTCACGCACGGCTTGGACGCATGATGGTGAGTGCGCCCCAAGCCATCCGATTGCTCCTGGTGTGCCAGGAAAGACACACGCGGTAGCCCAAACCCCAGCGCCTGTGCTCAAATCGCAGCTCTATACTCTTATAAGGTTCGCTTCCCCGCCTGGGCCACGGGTATGGTCTGCAAGCCTGCCGGTCAGTGGCCGAGGGGAAATTTTACACTATATGCCTGATTCTTCGTTGGTAAGTTCCAAAAGCACACCGAATCGACTTCTCCAGCGCCGTACATATCTCACGAAACACACGAAGGCCTAGGAAAGACTGAACCACTCTCCGCCTTCTTGTCGAAGGGGCTGCGGCACAGCGAAGCCCGGGGCAGATGGCCTTGGATACCCCCATGCTGAGCAGCTGATGGGGATAGTCATGACCTGTTGGATGATAATGGTGATGAAACTCACAGTGGTAGCGGCTGCGATGACGCAGAAGGGAAGAGGCAGGCATGCTACTGATGATGCTTGTGATGGTGATGATGCTGATGATGCTGATGATGCTGATGATGCTGATGATCATGATGTTGTATGGTGATGATGATGATGACAATGAGGATGATGACAATGCGGATGATGATGCTGCTGGTGATGGTGATCTCGCTTGTCAGAGTGAAGGCTTACATCAGTATGCTTGGTGACACCGTCGCCAGTGTTTCTATGAACGCTGCTATTCTTACCCGTTGCTCGCGTTCTTGTCAACCGAATATCAGTATAATACCAGTAATGTTGCTATTGCGAGCACCCATGTGATAGCTGCATCCCCGTCGTCGTGGTTACCAGCAGCAGTAGACATCCCCGCCGGAGGTCTGTGCAACATTCGGTGCCTCAGGGTATTGTGCATTAGCTCGCTGGTCTGCTTGGGGGCAACAAGCCCTGATGCCCTGCACGTATTCACCGAAGAGCATGCTTGCCGGTATCGGATAATGTCCTTTTTCAGCCTTGTTCCGAGTTTTTCTAGTAACTCCAAGCCTGCATTCGTCCGTGGCTTCTCCAAATCACCAGCCCATCCAAGGACACCACAGCCCAAGGGGGAAGGCTGCTGTTGCAGGAGACGCCACCTGGAAGTGGATTTGCGAATCTGAACAAAGCTTCAATGTTGGCTCAAGCTCTACGACTCTGGGATGCTGGGTTGCGTGAAGAGGGGTTCAAGGTCAAGGAATCGTCGATGTGAGCCTGATGTAAGCCCTACCTAGGACACGGAGCGATTGGCCGCGGCTCACCTAAATTTCGAGAGTTTTGGGCAGGGTCCAATGCAGGAGTCTTGCAACCTGCAAGCTGACGGTCGAGAGAAGCATGTCCACAGTACAGAGCTGAGGTTTGTGGACTTCAACTTAATTCGGGTGAGGGTGCATGGGCCTCAGCCCTGCTTTCCGCTTCGCATCAACCCTGCCAAACCCCAGCATGCACACTCCATGGTCCTGATAAGATCTCAATCATGATGCGACTCGAAACCGTCTCCACAATCCTAACGCAGATCCTGAAGCCTGTGCCTGCGCTCCTGAACTCTCAACTCTAACATCCTTGCTCCTCCTTGAGGCCCTATTAACCCCACACCTAAACCCCAAGCCTTTAAACTCCGCAGCTCTTAGACAAACCGCAGCCCTGAAACCTGAAAGCCTAAGTACCCCAAAACCCAAAAGTGTCGAGCTTAAGTTTGCGGGTTTCAGTCTTTCGGGCTCAGGATTTAGGGTTTCGAATTGAAGAGCTTTAGAACTCCATGATAACGAAGCTCTTCTAATCCCGGAGCCCTGGATCTTAAAGCCCCAGAGCTGGACCCTAAAGCCCCTATCATAGAATCCTTAAGGGGAAACCTAAGGGAATCCTAAATTCCTCTAGCCCTACAGAACCGGCTTTGTCCTGCCTGTCTGGGCGTTGCCAACATCGGCGACGGGATAAACGATCGGGGACCTGCCTGTGCGGGAGGTGCTTGTGGAGCCGACATTAAGCTCTTGACCTGCTACCTGCTGCCTGCTGCTACTAAATATCCTACAACGGCGAAAGACCAAACCCACTGCTAATCTCAGCGGCAGGTGGTACTGCAACGACGATGTCGTCGACTAAACCGGCGACGACTACTACTACTACTACTACTACTACTACTACTACTACTACTACTAATACGGCTGAGGGTTGTGGGTTGAGGACGTTGGCTCGGGCTTCGAGCTTCAGAGTTTCGGGCCCGGCAAGAATTGAAAGAAATCGCTTCGGGGAAGGCCCTGACCCTGCCCACATGTAGCATGATCCTTAGCTATCCTAGGGGGCCTCACATGCGGCACCCCTCTCCATGTAACACTTGTGAGCTCCCGGCCCGAGTTTGCGGCGTCAACGCCTCAGGAAGTAACTCGAAGTTGGGATCGCTCTGAATGCAAGGGGCTCACATACTATAAGGCTTCATAGCAGGCTTCATGGCTTGTCTGCATGATCCTGCAACGTCCATCTTTGTCCCGCCCGATCCTATTATGTCCTCTGGGCCTGTTTCTGTCAGTAGAATGGCCTTCATTAGTGCTAGACCCGACTTCGTCCTGCAAACAATCCTGAACCAACACGTTTACTCCACCTCACACGCCAGGCAAGGTCATTTCTTCTGGGGGCTCCACTCGCGTCGTCTGTGGCGTTCCCTGCCACAGCAAACATACAAGCTGTGATCTGCTTGTGCTTCGCGATATTATGGGACTTTGCAGCTCGAGCCGAGGATTCGATGTAACCGCAAGAAGCCGAATCGAGTTTTGATTCCTAAGGCCTAGGGCTTTTAGGCTTCCAGCTTTCGGAACTTCTTGTGAGACGACCTCACGGCTAGAAGGACGACCCTCGTCTAGAGCAATCCTCAATCAATGAAGGGTCGGGCGTCAAGAGGACTCCGTTGTTCTTTTAGAAATTAGGACCTAGGAATCTTTCCACTTAACATACTTACATGTACTACTGAATGAATTTCGCATAAGATCCAAGGATTCACATGTGTTCCGGTCTCTCTGTCATCTCCCGAAGTGCCTCCACGGCAATTGCACGCGGTGGCGAAACCCCGGCCATGCGGATGCAAGGGCTCGGGTAGCCTGGAGTCTGTGGTTCAGAGCTTCAGTAGTAGGGTTAGGTATTGTTTGGGAGCTCGGTTCAGGCATGGTTTTGGTGTGGTTTATAGATTTATAAAGTTTACGCAGGGCCTGGGGTTTAGATAGGTTTGGTTTTCGGGTTAAGGCCTGCACTTGGGGTTTGGGTTTCCGCTACAGGCTCAGGATTCAACTCTGGCTTTGGGTGGCTGTCGCTGGAACTGCCGTCGCAGCTTGCAGAAGCTCTGCTTTCCTAGGGCTAGAGTGACCGTTTTGCTGCATGATGTAGGTCATTGCCGCGGTTGAAAGATCCAGTCTTCTTCTACTTCTTCTTCACACAATCTCATCGCAAGGATGCTTGCTTGCTTGCTTGCTGTAGGAACTATACTTGTCCGTCTATACTAGAGTCTATACAAATATGATGCGACTGTGCTTACAACTCAGATTGCAGCGGCCTGCATGTTTGCCAAGCTGATCGAGGCACAGCTCGTTGGTCACGCTGCCTCGGATGACCTGCAACTACCAACGAACAGATGCTGTGAAGTGGCATCCTGTCTGCTCCAGCTGCCGCCGGAAGGCGCACAACGCTTCGAAGACGTCCGTGCGATGACCGGCGACACGCAAATCCAGGTCGTTGCCCAATGGAGGCCCTCGCACTCCGACCGATGTGTAGGGAAGGTGGCCACAGCTTCGGAAAAAATCGATGCCAACGGGGCTGTAAACTGCAAGCCACAGCTCGTCGAATGCATTCGCCTGGCGAACTGCATCTGCTGCACATTTTATGCAGCTGAAGCAGCAACGCCATGAGCCATTCTTCATCTTCACTACTCTGGCATGCTTCAGCTCCACCCGGACAGAGTCCCTGATCCAGTCGACAGAGTCAAGTCTCTCTTGTCTGATGAACGTGCTCGTTGGATTGAGCTGCTGATCGATGTCGAAACCCACTTGTTCTACATGGTTGCCCCGTGCAGACGGGCTCACGCCACTCAGCGGGTCGCAGCTGTGCCGACGGTACGAGCCGTCCTCCACTGCCTGGCATACGGCAGACAGCAAACGTGGATCTGCCAAGGGCAGCGTCCCCTTCCCTCACTCAGCTTCTGCAAAATGGTGTTCCAGGCCGACTGCCAGTCAAAAATGCCTCCCTTGGCATTGACCACGATTCTGTGCCCACGTAGAGCTGTTACTGCACCGGACCTGGAAAGTCCGGTTCTTAGGTCATGCTTCAGAATGTGAACCGCATCTGGCTTGTCGACCGCAAGGTAAAGGTCGTCAAAGAATGCATGGGTTCGAATGCCAGGCTCGGCAAGTTTCACTCCTGCGAAGGTGATGCACCAAGTGTTTATGGACGCCGCCCACGACAACCTGCAGCTTGTGCACTCCACCTTCCTGCCCCCGAGCGTCCAATCCCAAGGGGCTTGTTGAGGTGATCTTCGCTTGCCATTCAGGCAGGTGCCAAGGATAGGCTCCTCCACCTGCAAATTTGGGTACAAGTTCGTCAGCACGCGCTTGCACAGGCCTTGCAGGAGTATGGCTCGCTTGTGCGGACTCATCCCAGAGAGTGGATGTCCAGCATACAAGTCAGGGATTGCGGAGGGATGCTGGATAATGTGTTTGAACTTCGCCCAAGGAAACAGAGAGCCTGGCCACACAGCTTGCGGTTCTGCAGGAGCAGATGAACAGGATGGAGGGAGTCCTGAACACGATTGTGGACACTCTCCGTCGTCAAGCTGAAAAGAGCAGTTCCTTTGCCAAAGCAGATTAAGTCTGTGCATTTATCCGGGCAAGGCCGCTTGCGGCAAAATGAATTACGGCAATCTCTCCCCCATCACGGCGTGGGGAATTGTCGACTCTCGACAATTCCCCACGTCGTGATGGGGGAGAGACTGCCGTAATTCATTTTGCCGCAAGCGGCCTTGCCCGGATAAATGCACAGACTTAATCTGCTTTGGCAAAGGAACTGCTCTTTTCAGCTCAAGCTGACCACTCCTCTGAGCCGTCACCATCGCAAGTTCTGCTGCCGTTCCCGGGTGTTGCCGTGACTCTGCGAACAATATTGACAATGCTTTGACGGTTACAATTACAACTACATTCTGACTGTTCATACCCTTGTTGATAGCCAGACGGCTATTCATGCAAGTTGTGGCAAGCGGCCCTGCGTTGCTAGTGCTACTTCTCTTCCTCCTGAGTCTCCTCCTGTAGCCCATGTCAAGTCTGAACAGGATCATGTCGCGCGGTGGGCCATCGCCGCAGATTCGTACCACCATCAAATCCGAATACTAAAAACCCAGAAACCGCAGAACCTAGAACCCGACCCAAATTGAATTCCCGGGCACTTCACACATGCTGCCTCAAAAGATTGAAACCCTTCACACCACTCAGGCCGGAACCAAAAGCCGAAGCTCTTCAAATCACGTTCGACCCTTTCGAAGCCTCCGAAACCCTTCATCAAAAGCACGTTTTGACTCTTGAAGCCCCTCGCCTCCCGGGCTTCTCAGCTCTCCTCGCCTCAGGGAAGGGGAAAGAGTCCGTCATGCAAGAGTGTAGGCCTTTTTGGTGTTACTGCTTTGCTGGGGGGCTTAAGGCTTCCAAAGCTTACAGCAAATTTCACGATGAAAAAGAGCAGTTTGAACAACTGAAACCATGATTTGAAAGCACGGCGGGCGCAGGGAACCCTGGTTTGTTTGAGGCAGTTGCGTTCAACCCCTCTTCCGTCACAGGTTCGGGCCCAGGAGTTCAAGCTAGGCCAGCTTTCGTTTTAAGGTTTTAGGCTCTGGAAGGAATTTCGGTTTGGGGGTTCATGAAAGCTTTGGGCTTAGTTTTGGGGTTCCGAACGGTTTAGGGTTAACAACGGTTTGGGGTATGCGGAGTAGGGTTTAAAAGGGAGTGTCGGATCGAAAGGTTTGGGGACCCGGGGTTCCTTTTATTTGGGGCTACTCGCCTCCTTTCCTTCCGAACCAGAGTCCCAAATCCTCCGCTGCGTAAGGAGCGCTTTGTCATTTGACTTCTGTTGGAGCTGTGGGCTGACCGAAGTTTTCATTCGAGTTTTGCGGGCTTCCCGGCTTTCCCTGCGAATCTTAAGTCATAGGATAGGGATGGTGAGCTTAGTGCTAAGGCTCGGAGAAGACCTGTGGCACCCGGCAGTTCTGACCCCGGCGAGAGCAACGGGACAGGCACCGCAGCGGAAGTAGTCCCGCCTGGTTCCGTTGTCTAAGGTTTTCCGAGGAACTCAAAGAGCTTGAGTGCATGTCCAACTTGGAGGCGTGAGTTTACTTGCACGTGCAGGAGACAGATTCAGTGACAGGAAGTCAATGGTTCACCTTCGCTTCACATCTGGGGCTTAGGGTCATAGATGCGTCCTCCGCCAGTAAGCTGAAAATACAGGCATAAGACTCCTTTAAAATCCTCAACTTGTTGGCTTCGTTTGAATCAAGCGTGTTCTCTTACCTCTCCTTAAGTTTCAACCAAAGCATCTTCAGCACCATGGCGTACCTCAGCCCTGCAACGTAAACCGGGATTGATGCCTGGGCCTGTGCTCACGATGCCGCTGCCAGCTGCAGAACTGGTGGCACGCGACAGCCTTGCGACATTTTCATTAAAGCATCATGAATGCAACTGCCTGCAGGGTCTCATTTTTATCTTTTACGAAACTATCTTTGACAGTGGGCATCATGCATGTTGCGACTCGCACTGCCTTGCATGGTGAGGCTGCTGCGACGACGAGGCCGACGACGAAGAATGTTAATGTACTATCATACACACGAGAACAAGGATACTGGTGCACAGCTACCGCTGTAAGGTTGGTCTGCTTATGTAGGCATTTGGCACTCTCTTGTGGTCATGGTAGAGCTTACTTGGAGGTTCATAGGTATTCACAAGTAGTGTTATAAGTAGGGTAACTGTACTTTTTAACCCGTACTAGGGGACGTATAACCCACTTATAACTACCCATGAACCTCCAAGTAGGAGATGGATCCTGTTGCTTCTGACCATCAACACCACCATCGTTTCTTCTGAGACCCGCTGCCTGCTTCTTTGCTGATGTCAGGGACTGCTACTCTACGTGTGTTTATACATACATACATACATACATACATATCTACATATGTATATATGCATATACGTATACACATGCCGTTGCTGAGCTGCCTGAGCAAGCTTACTGTACTAGCCTGGCCTGCAGCTTGCTCGAGAGTTCAGCACCATGTATCAGGGAACGTGCTGGCATCTCGGCCGAAAGCTACGTCCTCCTGAAGTCTAACAAAGCTTCCCGGCTTGTGCACACGGCTTGAGGATGCCCGGCATGTAGCCTCTGAGTCCCGGGCGGAGTGCCATCGCTACCCCCAGCGGTGGAGTTGCCTGGCAGCTTTGGGAAGTTGTAAGATCGTTTGAGCCCTGCTGAAAAAAGTACAATGAATGTCCTGGTTGTTCATTGCTTGGGATGTGGGACAGTGAGTATGCTTGGTTTAGGGCGTGCCAAAGCCCAACGAGAGGACCTCATGATATCTGAAACTGCGGTCTTGGCCGCAAAGTCCTGAAAGACTCGGTTCGCAACAGACTGCTTCCAGAAAGCGTTGGCTACATACAGTTTCGAACACGATGGAGGAAGAGACCGCATGGCCTAGACGCTATGGCCTGCTCGACAACAAGACCGTAGTCTGCGTTGGCCTGTCGACTTCATGTACTCTCAGTTATGACCAACCCTGTGGAAACTTCGTGACTACATCTGCAGCCCTTCAGCTTGATCCTAGATCCTCAAGTCCAAAACCCCTATGCCCCTCAAACCCTCTAATTACCCTGAGCCACCCAAGCGGACACAGGAGCCTGCTTTCCCACGGGGAGGCGTGGAAGCAAGGCTCCCTGCCACTGTTTCAGTTTGGAAGGCTTATGAGCGTCATGAGGGCTTGCGGGGTTTATTAGGGCTTTTAGGGGTTATCAGTGGGATGAAGGTTCGGAGACTGGTTTCAGAGCTAGGGTTCAAGGACCCCGCATGTGTTGAAGTCTTTCGGAATTTGGAAACCAGAACGTCGAAGTAGAAACGGAAGTGACGACATCAAGAGTCATGAAGCATAATCATCATTCATCATCATCGTCATCATCGTCGTTATAACAGTAATAATCGCACTCACCGTCGTCGTCCACGACGACTGCAGCTGCTGCCGCTCTTCCTTCTACTACTCCTCCTCCCCCTCCTGCTCCAACAGTGGTTTCGCACGAATTCGAGCAGAACTGCGGACCGTCTAGGGGTTGCACTTCTTGATTGCGCTGCGAGCTTGTGGCCTGCAGTCTTGACTGGTTGTCTGGACCTTCCAGCCTTGTTCCATTCGGCCGTGACGACCGCTCCCCACATACGGCTTAGGACTCCAGTGCCGTAAGGTATCTAAACACCTTGGTTGCCAAAAGGCCCTAAACCCAAAACCCCCTTTGCCTGTTAGGCTAACAGATCTCCTCACAAAACGCTCTGGGATTTTACGGCTCTTATGGTTCGCCTTTGATACCGGCGTGGAGAAGGGCTAGGGTCGCCAGGGTCGGTAGGAATGCCATGCTGGCAGAACCAAGGATGCACCAAGCTTGATTGGCACATCCACAGCACGCCCTCACAGGGTTAAGGTTTAGAATTTAAGGTTGATAGCAGTTGCCTTAATAGCCCTGCGCTGATCCCTGAGCTTCTAAGCCTATCTCCTCTGCACACTTCCGCTACAGAAATGTCCAGCAGCGCCTCGTTTGTCCACTTTGGAACAGGGGAGGTCACCTGCAAGGCAGCTCGGCGGCTTGCGTTCGCCAAGCCAACAGGGACCCTGAAATGTGTACGGAAACGTGGAACCCTCTACTTTGGGGCTTTGGTGGCTGACGATTTTCGTGGCTTCAAAGCTCTTTCGGGCTCGGTGCTCGAGGAATGCTGTGTTAGGGTCGCTGAGGGTGTTTAATAGCTTTCGGTTACCGGTTGCTTGAATCGTTTTCTGCTGTCGCAGGAGCAGCACTGTGGCGACGAACACAAAATATTGCCATCGCCAAAGCACAAAGTTCGACGCCCGCAACCTCTCAACACCTACCCCAAACCCTGAACCCTCGAATCCCGAAACTCCTAGCCCGTAACCCCCGAACTCTGAGCCCTGAATCGCGCGACCCCAAGCCCTAAACCCTTAGTAAATCCGCCTCCGCGACTGGCGCCCGTCGGTTTGCTGGTATTCTCCTGCGGCTCAGCTAGGGCTTCGGGCCTGAGCACTTAGAAGCCTAGGTTTGGGGCTGAAGGGCCTTCGAGGCTTCGAGTGTTGTTGGCAGCACGCGGCTTGGAGCTGGGAAGGATTTTGCTCTGACTTCGAGATGGAGTGGCACGCCTCAAGCACGAGCAGGGTTTGAAGGGTGATAGTCAGCTAGTCAGTTAAATAACCAAGTAAACCATCGATCAAGCAATTCAGTTTAAAACATATCTAGTCAATTTGTTCAGCAGTTAGTTGATGAACGGACGGCTTGACCGTCCTTCGAGCCAGCGCGAGGCGTGCCAGTCTTTGGCCGTGGCTGCTGAGCCCTTGTCGCGCCGGCAACCTCAGGCGTTGAGGTTTCAGGTGTAGGGTCTAAGGTTTAGCTTTGGGGGTCTGAGGATTTTGGGGTTTAGGGCTGTTGGGGGGAACGTCGAAGATTAAGGATTCTAAGGCCGTAGGCTGGGATATAGGGCTTGCAAGTGCCAGAGCACTTGCAGTGTGTACATGACACAAGCATTCCTTGGAATTGGGGCTTAGGTTGTGGGGCTTAAGGCTTAAAGGATTCTGGCTTAGGTTTTAGGGTGTAATTGAGGACTGAATAATTCGGGTTGTGCATTACGGAGACTAAGCTAAGGCAGGTGCTCTCGTGCCTTCAGGGATTTAAGGCTTACCTTGAGGGTCGTGGGAGCTGCAACGGGGAGTGGGGCAGGCCTGATCCTAGTCTCCGAACTTCGTTTGGGACTCGGAAAACGCACGGAGAGTTAACAGCATTAAAAGCGCATGCCTATGTTCGCGGACGCTCTCTGGATAAAAATGACAATGCGACAATCATTGGCCAACAATGTTTGGCACGCTACCACGGGTGCTGAATCCATAACTTTTGTGATGCCGTTACTTAAGTTGGAACACCATTAACATCATCATCGTCATCGACGCCACGATGCGGTAATTGATTACAAACATCATCCTAACTGCGTCCATTAGCATGTTCTCCCAGATGATCACCACCACTGCCATCATCATCATCATCATCAGTATCATCAGCAGCTGCAGCATCGCCACCAATTTAGCATTCTCAGCACGGTCGTGGTCATCGTGACCCATTTATCATTCTCCTCGAGTTGCAGACCATCCGCCACAACCAAAAGCATCGATCATCACCACCACCGCTAGCATGGAATTCTTGATCATCCTGCTCGTCATAAGAAGAAGAACATAAGTGTTGACCGCAAGGGCAGCAGTCGCAACAAAACTGATGACACTACTCAGGAAACTGACCGAGCAAAGCTAGGGACAGTGTTTTGTGGCTTTCAGCGCTAGTCACATCGAGTATCGGTTCGGCTCGACAGTTTACCGCCGATGGAAAACCAAAACAATACTTCTAGCATAAGACATCTTCAGAATCGGCACCGAAAGCCATACAAAGTCAGATCAGTGTTGCAGGCTATCCAGCGCTGTCCAAATGTTTAGAAAACATCGGGCAACGCTCCATCTTAGTCTGCGGCCTGGCTTGGTCGACTGGATGAGGAGGGAACGTGACCTGAGTGGGGACAGCAGTCCGGAGTCCTGGACCTAAACCAAGGAGGTTCGGGACCCGAGACTCCGGTGCCGCGATGAAAGGACCTAAGAACTTGACTGGCAGCAAACGCTGTGGTCGCAGCCTACTACCAGCAACATTCGTTGCCGCCGCAGCTGTCGAACCAGCAGCCACGCGGATGGCAAGCAGCAGTCATAGTGGCACGGCAGCAGAAGCAGGAGCAGGAGACATGATTCGCTGTCGTCCTCGGTCGTAGTCAGTCGTTGCTACTGATGTCTCATAGGGCCCAATCGCACCAAAGGATGGAAAAATAGTAGGCGGAGTTGCAGGCAGGCAACAAGCAACAGTATGTAAACAAAAGAAGGGCCAGATTCCACCTACAGATAGCACAGGTATCCCAAAGTGAAACTTGTCTGCTACACCCTAAGCTCCTAAACCCTGAAACCCTATTTGGCCCCAGAATACGTGCATCGCATCCTCCAGGCGCCTGGCCAGAGGTTGGCCTTGGCACAGCAGGAAGGCGACTTAGCTGATAGACTGGCCTCAAAAAATAGACTAGGGTGTTGGGGAGCAAAAGAATACCATAAGGAAAACGATGAACCCCAAAACAGTACTGGTAATTGACAGAAAGGGGAAGCCAGAATCGACGGCGCGTTTCACGGATGTTGGAGTTGGGAACAATCGCTCTTCCCTACTTTCGGCTCGTCGCGAAAGTCGGTAATTGTGGCATCTCCCGAATGCTTATTGGGCAGTGCTTAAGGTACCTTCCTCAGTACTGCGGACCACTACTAATCACCCCATGCCAATCACCACCACGAACACGATGGCTCCTGCTGCTGCTGAAACCCCAAGCCGGAAGCCCTAAAATCCTAAAGCCGTGATCTGCAAACACCCCGGGTTAAAGCCCTTCAGCCACGAGAAACCAAGAAGATTTGAGCACCCACCTTGGGCACTCCACCCCAAGCCCCGGAACCTGTCCCTCAAACCCCAAACCTTCTGAAGCCCGTGGCAGACCCTTGAAACTATCAGAACGCCTATAAACATGAACTGGTGTGTTCGAAAAAGAGAAGCACATAGATACATTGCTTACCAAATATGATTATATCCGATATCAACATGTAGAGGCCGGGGACCAAACTCTAAACCCTAAAACCTAAACCCTTCACTGAAAACCAAACTCCGATTCAGACATCCTTAGTTGCCAACGCCGCTTTCTCGGCGGCCGCTGAGCCTTCTGTGTTCCCAGTAGGATTTTAGGGCTTAGAGCCATCCTAAAAGCCCAAACTCTGAACAGGATCGCTGTGGAGCTGGGTGAGGTGTTTCGGATTGCCAGATGGCCTGTGGGGTTCTGGTAACTTTAGAAGCTTTGGGCGTTCAAGGTGTAGGGCAGGGTGAGTCTTGAAGGCTTCAGCATCAAAGGGGTCCAGGCTTTGGGCAGTTGGGGGTTTAGGGTTCAGGGCTGTGCAGGCTCCTGCCTGGAATAGCACCGATGCATGCCCCCGCCGTATCCCAAGTTATTCAGACTCGCCAGGTCTAAGGTTTCGGGCACAAGCCTCGACACCTTCAGCTGAGACCTTCGACATAAAAGACTCCTTAACCATGACGCTTTAGGAGTCTTTTCTGTCGAAATTAGCGTCTTCGATGCAAAAGACTCCACAACAGAGCATGCAACCGACAACCGCAGCGCTGCACCTCTGTTCCAGAACCCCCAACCCTTCACCTCCACATTGAACCCCCAGACCTCAAGGCTCCGAGACACGTAGCATTAAAATCCGAAGCCTGGACAGGTCCTGATTCCTAGGCCCCTTAACCACTAAAGCTAAGTCCCCAAAACTCTAAACCCAAGACCCTGAAACTGAACAGCCAGAACCTACTAATCAACCCTTGACATCTAAGCCCTGAACCTTTCCAAGCACCCAAACTTATGCAATAAACCGTACCTAGGACTCATCTACTCTTTTCGAATATTCGCCCAAACACCCATTCTGAGAGAAAAAGGGCCTGAACCTTGGCTCCTCAAGGCAGACCCCTGAACCTCACACCATAGGATGTCGGGCTTAGGTTCGAAGGTTTGGGTGATTTCAAAACCCCTAATTAAGCACTAAAGCTGGGCATGCCTCTCCGGTCTACTTTGAGCCGTCGACCTTGACTGGGACTGGCTCCTCCGGGTTGAGCACGCTTTGGGGTTTCCGGGTCAGGGGCTAGGGTTCAGGCTCGCAGGGTCCGTGGTGTAGAGGTTTGGGTTTGTGGAGTCAACAAAAGGGCCGTTTCAGGTCGCAAGGGCATCATGGGTTTGACGGCTTGATACATGGATTTGTATGTTCGGTTGTGGGTCTGAAGTACTCCTGTCGGACAAAGGTGCATCGAAAAATGCAAAAGCTAGGTACAACCTCCTACAAAGTCGGACAGAAGGAGAACAGCACTAATGGAGGAACCTGATTAAGAAACCTTGGGCCATTATTACGGTTCCCAATATGAATCCTACTATTTTGGGTGGTTATAGGCCCAGGGTTTCTTGATCAGGTTCCTACATTGTTATAGTACCCTTATCGATCCCTCATAGTGACCCCTATAGACCCCTATAGACCCCTTTAGAGGAACCCTAATAAAGGGCCTAGGGTTTCTTTATCAGGTTCCTACGTTACAGCACTGAACCGAAGCCCTGGATCCTCGGCTCAGCTTTGCAGGCGCGCCTCCTGGCGGCTTCAAGCCGGGGCTTCGGAAGGACACAGTGCTCAGCGAGCCCAATACCCCTTAATTAAGGAATATAGCTCAAATCATTAGGGGCTTCATATGATGATTTAAGCTATATTCCTTAAAGAAGGGGTATTGGGCTCTCTGGGTTCCGACTGAAAGGACACAGTGTTTAGAGCCTCGAGATGCGCGCAGACACCCAAAGCCCTAAACCTGCCAAGCCCTACACCCAGAACCCTATACGAGCACGAAGCCGTTGAAGGACAGGCTTCGGGCAACTGAGTTCCGCATTTTGTCAACCTTGGCTTCAAACCTTTCGTATCCGGGGCCCGCGACCGACCCTAAACTTCGACAAACGCAAACTAAACCCTCGACTCTCAAAGAAAGCTGAAGAGCAACCTTGCAACACCGAAATGGAACCGAAACGGCACGGCCTCGGGTGCCATTCGCTGCAGCCTCTGCTCTGCCACTGCCTTCGGTAGCTTGGGCTTTCGAGTTCATTGGGTTTGGGCTCGAGGGTTTGGATGTCGGTTCTGCTTGTGAGGTCTTACAAAGGTTGCTTCAGGCGTGGTAAAAAAATCTTGTCGGTGGTTTTGGGCTTGCTCATAAGAGACAACAAGACTTTATGCCGCCCTGGGTTTGCACCATAATATCACCAAAACGAAAGACAATTCCTGACATGACCCGAAATCTGAATCCTCAATCCAAGCACCCCTGAGACATGCTCCCCGAACGAACAGAGCCTCCTCTCAACTTTAAGACCCTAAATCGCAAACTCTAAACTCAAACACTACACCCTAAACCTCTCAACCATTCTTCGAAGTTCGGGCTCCGAAGTTGTCCCCGAGGGCACCTCGCTCAGGACCAGCGCTGGAACCCGGCGAGGGTGGCGGCTTTCTGGTTGGCGCGCACGGTGCATGAGCGGTTCCCGAGGGGTTCAGACGGGATCGTGTGAGGCGGTCCACCAAGTAAGATTTACAACGGGTTCAGAAATTTATGAAGTTTTCAGTAGGGTGAGTAGGGCCACTTCTCCTTGCTTTTGCAGACGCAGCTATATAACTATTTGTTACTAACCCTGCAGTTCTTACAGCTGTTTACCTGAATGTCAGCGCGCCTGTTAGAAGCCCGACTCGCCCTCCTGAGACGAACTAGACCCCCAACCACAAACAAAACCACTCAACCCTCTCACTCCAACTCTCAAAGCAACCCTAACATTCTAAACCCAAACCCGAGCCCTGAGCCTCAGAGGCCCCCCACACCCCACCCCACACCACCCGCCCCCTAAACCCTAAACAACCGTAAACTCTAAAACCTAAATTCTGAACCCTAAACCCTAAACCCTAGACTCTAAACCCTAAACCCCAAACCCTAAACCCGAAACCTGAGCCTCAGAGGCCCTCCCAAAATCGCTCCTTGGTTCGGCTTCCCGGGGTGCAGCGACCTGAGAAGCCTGAGAGGTTTAGGGGTTTGAGTGGGTTTAGGGCAGTGTTGCAGTAGTAGTAGTAGTAGTAGTAGTAGTAGTAGTAGTAGTAGTAGTAGTAGTAGTAGTAGTAGTAGTAGTAGTAGTAGTAGTAGTAGTAGTAATAGCAGCAGCAGCAGTAGTAGCAGTGGTAGTCATTAGTAACATTAGTAATAGTAGCAGTAGGTAGTAGGTATACTAGAGTAGGTAGTAGGAACTAGGTACCAGGTACCAGGTAGTACGTCGTACGCAGTACGTGGGGTAGTACAAGCACGGCAGCAGAGCAGTAGCAGTCACTGTGCCGATCGTGGCACTGCAAGTGTAACAGTACTACTAGCAGTAGTAATCGAGCACAAGTCCTGGCAACATGCAACATCAGTTCCCTCTGCATACCGTTATTTCAATACTTATATTCTAAATTCGTCAGCCCTTAGTGAGCGCTAAATCCTAAAGCTACGCTCTCAATCCAAGCCCGCACAAACACCTGCGAGGAAGGTGCCTGTGGGCAATCCTCGCGCCGCGCAGCTCGAAGGCTCGCCGCAGGCTCCTGCAAACACAATGTTGAGGCTTGTAGCAGGTTCTACAGGAAGTGTTGTAGAAGTTGATGTGATTCTACAATTCTTGGAGTCAAAAATTAGTTCCCTGTCGGGGTTTGGGGATCTACAGCTGAAGCAAGGGCTTTGGGCATCAGTATTGATTGTAAGGGCATTTTGAGGATTTAGGGGTCAGGGGTTGAGATTATAATTCAGCCCGTTTGTTGTGCCATGTAGGCCTTAGAGTATGGTGGTTGGTCTTGGGTTCAACCACTCGTGGCTTTAGCAGTTCGGGTTTAACGGGTCAGGGTTCAGGGCTTAGCACGGCTACCTCGGATGTAGGATTGAAGGTTTGGAATGGTTCAGAGTGTAGCGTGAGAAGGGTTCCGGGTTGTAGCGTCTCTGAACCTCATCTATGGATCTGAGGCCGCCCACAGGATGCTTTTAAGTAGCCGTTTCTGGGTGGGGTTCACGCCTGGCTCCTCGAATTCTTCAAAACGGGCTGCCTATCCTTGGGAGACCTGGAGCTTTTGGGGGTTTAGGGCTTATGGCCCTAAACCCTAAGCCCTAAACCCTGCAGCCTAAATTCCTGAACCAAACTCCTAAACCCTAAGGTTGCTAAGCCCTCAACCCTTAAAAGGGTCCAGGGGTGGGGATGTAGGTTTGAGGCTTCAATGGAGGAGTTCGGGCTTTGGCCCCCCCCCCCCCCCCCGGCCTGGAGCTTGCTCAGGAATTCCTGCTCCAGAGGCTGCGCAGGAAGAGGCCAGAGGTCCGGTGAATGAGGCATAGCAGGGTTTGAGGTTTAGTGCATAGGGGCTTAGGGTTTAAGATTAAGAGTGAAGTGTTAGAAATATTAGAGCATGCACGAATGTGGCTGGTCGCCTGGGATGAAAACAATTCTGACCGCAAACCTGACAAAGTTCAGTTCAGCCTTGTTCAACCGATTGAGGATACAAAGCTAAAGCAACATCAAGATTCTCAAAAAGTCCCGAAAGCCTTCAACCCATCAACGCAAGCCCTACATGTCCTGGAAGCACCCAGCCATCTAGCCTTCAGGTGAAGGACTCCAGCAGTAGGGCAAAACCTTGAACCCGAAACCCTGAACCCCAACCTTATAAAACGATAGGCCCTGAACCCTGAACTGTAACCCCCATGTAAATCCTTGGCCCTGAACCCCTAGACCACCATCAACCCTTCACGGTCCCTTGAGACGCTGCCTCGAACGGCTCGTAGATGACGCCGTCCACGGAAGCTGTGAGGACGCCATCGCTGAGCCGCAGGCAGGCCCGAGCCATCCTGGGGTCAAGGATAGGGTTTAGGATTTTTTTAAAAAGTGCAATGGGGCCTTTTTCCGCAGAGGTCCAGCCGATTGTCGGCCTGCACTATCACAGATCACTTGCGGATCCATGGTTCAGGGTTTAGGGTTTGGGGTTTGTTTTTTTTTTGAGTTCCTTTTCTCCGAAGCCTGGAGGGGTCCCGAAGAGGCTTTAACAGCCAGGATGGGGTTTGGGGTTTAGGGTTTATGGTTTGGGGTTCGGTTTAGGCTAGGGTTTAGGGTTCAGGGTTTAGGCTGGTGGGAGGGTCCGGGTTTAGGATTTGCGTGGATGTGTGGCGGCTTCAAGATCTCAGGTACCAAAACGAAGAGAACGACAACCGCAATCTCCGCGTCGAGAGTTAACGATTCTTCTGTCGTGAGGTAGTTTGGGCTGGGGGCTTTGGGATAGATTCACGGCTTTGAGTTTCGGGTTTAGGGTTCGGAATGGAACGATGGTGGGCGTCGCACCCTCAACCCCTGACTTACTTTGGCTTCGAGGCTGGTTCTAGGGCCTTAGGGCTTCCGGCTTTGGGGCTCTGGGGTTTGGGGCTCAGAGCCTGAGAGTCACGACGTTGTGAGCCTTCCGGACAGCGGAAATCCTCCGCCCTTCCCGGAACCCCCAAAAAAACTCCGAAGGATTTAGGTCTTCGGGTTTAGGGTTGAGGGTTTAGGGTTTACAGTCTGGTGGTTGGGTTTTTGCGTTTTGGGGAAGGGTTTAAGTACCTAATAGTGTATCGTCCGGTAGCGCTTCTTTTCAACACTGCCCGGAGCCCTCAAAGTTGTAAAACCGTAAGCCCTCGGTCCCAATGCTGCTATAGAACTAAACCCGTCAACCTCTAAATCCTAAACCCATAACGCCATAAACTCAAACTTTAAGAGTTGTCCACACGAATCCATTAAAGTGAAAATGAAGCACCAAGCACCTTATAAACGCGATAAAGGTACCCTAAACCCCTAAACCCCTAAACCCTGAACCCTAAACCCTGAACCCTACACTGGGCTGCCCAGGATCTTTCCGAACTCGTAGAAGCCGTTGCAACGGACAACGAGGTGGTCGAAGGCTACCTCACTTAAGCTTTCGGCTTCGGAATTTGGGGTTTAGCTTGGGGTTTGGGCTTCTGAACCAGGGTCTTCAAAGGGCTTGAGGATTCGATAGGGTTCAATGAGGGTTGCCTTCCGGGTCCTTCAGAGGCTCTTGTACACGTTCTTTCATGTAAGCGTCGTTGTAACAGTATGGGTCTCGGGATTACAACTCTGGGTCTCGGGCCACTGGGTTTATGGTCTTGGGTCTTGGGTATTGGGTTTTGGGAGTCGGGTCTTCGGGGCGTAGAGGCTTTGGGCTCTTTTGTGACAGGTTTTTCGAAACGATGGCTCTGGGCTTGTGGATGAGGTTGCGAAGTCAAGGCTAAGGGAGGCGCTTTGGGATTAGGAAAGTTGTTGGGGCTTGACGACTTTACGGGTCCAGGGCAGCAGGCATGCCGGGTTTAGGCAACTGGAAAAGCTTGAGGCTATGGGAACGAAGGCCCAGGTGTCGAGGGTTGAGGGCCGAAGGCTTTACAGCCGGGCTTTCTACGAACCTCAAATAGGATAGGCTTCTGGGGTGTAGGCTCCAAGAGTGATCCCAATCCTAAGCTGCAAAGAAGAGAACCCCCCCTACTTCCCACTTAGGGTTACCGGGATCCCGGGCCTCTTCCAGCACGTCACGCATGGCGGCCTCGATCTGCGCGCGCTCCGCGCGTGATCCGGGCTCCTCCGGCAGCGACGGCCTCGGCTTAGGGGTGTTACAAGGTCTTATAAATAGGATAACTATAGTGAATCGAAAACAACTGTAATTCTCGCTCCAAGTAAGGTACTTGCAACCTTACTTATTACTAACTAAGTCCCATGCAAGGCTTCATAGTAGGGCTTTAATCTGTTTGGGGTCGTTCGGGTTTGGCTTACATAGGGTCTTGGGGTTTGAGGTTTGAAGCAAAGATTTTCGGGTTGTTTTGGGGGTTCAGGGTACTCAGGCGGGGTGTCGAATGCGGGGTTTACTGTGAGGGTTTGGGTTACGATAACTATACAACTCGAAATAGACAGTGGCAGTATTCCCTTTTCGGAATATTCGCCTTCCGGAAAATTTGGACCCCAGCCTAGGCTGCCTTCAAACTCAACTCCACAAAACTAGCAAACGCAGAACTACACACCTTGAACTTGGATCCTGAACCCTGTACCCTACACCTTCAAACCAACACGCAAAATCCTGCTCCGAGATCTTGCCAGGCGTCGTCACTGCAGGTGCCGCCGGTGACAGAGGCTCAGGACTCGCCTGCAAGCGGGACTTAAGGTTTGAGATTCGAAATGTGGGATTTAGAGAGGTTTTGGATGATGTGTCCTTATCTCTGAGGATGGATTGAGGATTTAGGGATTGAAGCACCTCGGCTGCAAGCTATTGTTTGCAGCAGGTTTCGGTGGAACTGTGCTCGGGACTTCAGCTGTGGCCATGCCGCAGTGCGGACTCCCTTTGCTCCAGCATCTAGGAGTTTGAGGCTTTACTTGGCTCAGAAGAATATCTATATTATGGATATTGCTACCACGTCATTCTGTGGGGTTCGGGATACTTGGCTCTCATCGCCTCTTCCTCCACGAACCCTGGGCCAAACGAAACAGTGCAATGACTCTTCGAAATGGCAATTGACCCTCACCAAAACGTGAACCCAGAGAGCCCAATACCCCTTGATAAAGGAATATACCTTAAATTATTCGGCGCTTCATATTATGATTTAGGCTATATTCCTTAGTTACAGGATATTGGGCTCTCTGGGCCCTCAACCCTGTAACCGCGTTGTCACTACGACATTCTTTGTCAAAACTACCTTTTTTGCTAAGCCGATGCTTACAAGTCGCCGTGTCGAGGAAGTTCGTGTCCGTCGGATTCCCACCGTCGGGATCCTGGCGGGTTTGGACAAACCTTGAGAGTTGAGGGGCCTCGCAAGTAGTGTAGCGGTCTTGTAATCATTCTTGCGACAGTGCTTCGGCACTAAAGTATAATTAGGCAGCAGCCTTAAGGAATCGAGTTGGTAATTATAATTACAGGGGCGACATGGCAAAAAAGTTTGCGAGCAAGCAAAGGTCTTCTCGGATCGCTGAAGCTTCGCGGATGCTGGGCCCATTTCCACGACTTTCAGCCTCATAGCTCGTGCCAGATCCCCTGAAGGCTTCTCAATCTCAGTAGTTACATCCATCTGTATGTTCACACATTATGACATGCTGCAGTTCAGGTGCCGGACCTATGCTCGGCTCACGCGTGAGACCTGTTCAGAAATGTAGTACATTAGAATATAGCATCTTCTAAGCTCATATACTGTATTATACCATGCTGAAGTACATTATGATATACTACAAGAATACCGATCAGACGTCATAGGGCTTGTCTTCAAGACCATTTGTCAGTGCAAGCACGGCATACATCCAGCCCTCTCAGCTCCTTCTCCCCCCCCCCTCGTCCTCTGCAACGTCTTAGGAAAGGTCGCAAGAAAGGATCGGGTTTAGGCTTAAGGCTTCTCGGTCTTAGGGGGGGCAACTGTCAGGCCTTCGGAACTTGACATGCACGTGAAATCGAAACCTGGTCGTTGATGCACGAGATTTCCAACCGTGCACTTAGCTGCTCTACCCAAGAGCATGTACACTGATTCTGGCTACGAAGACCATGTGAATCGGTTGCCCTCTCAAGTGTGCTCCTCTGGGGCTTCCATGCCCGCCGAGCACTCCGTGACGGGCGTCACCTAGGACCACAGGATCTGCACGAAATTTCACACTCTAAGTGGTGAGAAACAACTAGTAACGAGATTATGGTTTTGTTGTTTTTTGCGGTATAGGGCTTCGGCTGTAGGGTGTTAGGCAATACACTCACACTGCTCATGTCCGACGTTCAGCGCTTTAAGTTTTGGTAAGGTTTCCAGGTTTTGGCGGGTTTGGGTGGTCGGGACCGGTACCGGCAACACACAAAACCCTGAACTCTAACACCTTGAGCCCACAACCCTATGCATCTTTCCGCTCTCCTTCTTGGCTCAAACCACAAATGCCATTGGGCTTGATCTTCGACGATCCAACACCCAAAAGGCCCCAGACTCCTGCAAACACCACTACACGTCAGCAGCGCGGCATGAAGTCGTAGAGTTTCTTGGTGTTTAGGGGACTCGGGATTGGCAAATGCTTTCAATAACCGAAACGCCCCAAAACTCCAAAGCTTAAACCCTGCATCCTAAACCCTAGACACAAACCCGAAGCCCTAAAAACCTAGAGCCTAAAATCCAATGCCCAGACCATAAGCCCTGAAAAACTAAAAACAAATCTACACCCTAATATTTAGACCCTGAAGCAACATCGAGTGACGGTCGCAGGCGTGGCCACACTTGGCAGAGCGTGCACAGAGACGTCCAGGAAGCCATCCTAGCGGATTCGGAGTTCTATAGTGAGGTTGCGGTTCCTTAAAAGGTTCCGCACAGGCTTCTAGAAGGGGTTCCTTAAAAGGGCTCAAAAGGTTCTGGCTCCTTAATTAAAGTTAAAGTAACTTGGTTTGGGGATCTCGTTCCCGAATAACCTTGGATCAAGAACGGTGTCTCAAAACAACTGACCCGAGGCACCCACCCACGGCGTACCACCCCTAACCCTGAAATCCTGAGCCCAGATTAGCTTGCACAAAGCACCTTGCCACTGCTCTGAGGTTTGGCTTCGTGCAAGGACGTATAGGCTATAGAGCTTAGGGCTTTAAGTCTCAAGCCTTTAGGGGTGCATGGGGTAGGCTCACATCCCTCTGACTTTGTCGGCCGTTCTGTGCGGTCGGCTTGAGCTCGTCAAACGATTCCGCAAAAGCTCTACTATAGGGGCCTTAATAATTAGAATAGGGTTTTGAGGCCCATTATACTCTAGTTTTAAAAAGGAGCCCCGGAAAGCATACTAGGTAATTATTAAGGCCTCTATATTACCTCAACAAAGCTCTTCTCATCCATTGCAAGAATTCTACACCAAGACCCCTCCTTCGGTAGCTCGTGGGTGACCGCATCTGGCAGGAAGAACTCGCCTCCATGCAAGCAAGAAGGAAACCCTTGTTCGGGGATCCATTTCTCGGCTTGGGGCGTTGGGTTGTGGGATCATGGGGTGCGAAAACAGGGCTTGGCACTCCCTCTCTCTCCCTCTCCCTGCTCTCTCCTCTCCTTCCTACACCCCTAAACCCTAAACCCTAAACCCTACACCCTAAGCTCTGAAGCTTACAATCCCCTAGCGTCGCCGTCCCAAGCGCCTGCTCGATGCGCCACACTGGGAGGCTCCTGGATGCAAAACTGAAAAACAGAGGACTTGGGGTTTAGGCTTCCCTTTATCATGTTCTGTATGGGCTTGTAGAATTGTAGAAAGGTTTTGGATCTAGGGTCTGGGTTTGGAGCTAGAGGTGGCAGCTAGTGTGTAGGGCTCACGGCAGGGGTGCCGGCTTTTGCTTGCAAAGTTTGCGGGGCCTTGCTCTTGGGGCATAGAGTGTGGAGTCCAGGCTTTAGGGATGTGCTCATGCAGGTCTATGGTGAAGAGTTCTGCAGCTCAGCCTGTAGGGTGTTTTGTCTTGTGACAAGGAGGCAGTCGAATTTTGCACGAAGCCGTCCCTCCCTGGGTCCCTAGGCCCTAATCTAAGACACTCTAAACCCTTAAACCTGTTAAACCCAAACCTAAAACCTAAACCCTACCCCAACGCTAACCCTTCCAACTTGCAACTGGAAAGTCGAAAAGCTTCTCGGCTACACTGAGCATGAGGGCTGGAAGCAGTACTAACACTATTCCTTAGGGTGCCTCTTCCACAGCCCGAGTAGACTTTTAAGCTTCAGCCTTCCAAATTCATTCCCAGATTTGGGAACTTCGCTTGAACCAGGATCCGTAAGCAATCTCGGCGCCTGCTTCCGGTTGCCCTGACCTTGGCGGGTCTGCTTGCGCAGGGGGGAGTGGTTTCAGAAGATGACATGATCCCTGCAACTGGCCATGACACAATATACGATGATATAGAGTATACTATAACATAATACCTGAAACCCTGGACACCCACAGGCAAAATCCTAGAGGCTTTGACGACTCAGACGGTTTTGCGCGTGTTGCGGGACTGTGCTTTCGAACCGGAAACCCAGCCCTAACAGTGGGTGTAGGCAAATATTCTTTGCTTTGTGGAAGCAGGAATCCAAGACTGTGACTACTAACTACGATTGCGAATGCACTTGTAAGCGCAAAAGCCTGCCAGTTCTCGTGATGGTGACGACGGCAGTAGTGGCCACGACAGCAACGCTTAACCCCTGCCAAGAGTATGACCGCACAGAAAAAACTTGGGTTTGACTCGCATACGATACCCCCGAGACCCGGACGAGTGTGGAACAGATGACCCTGCAGCCGGCACAGGTCGTCGTGAAGCCTCGTCAAAGAGGGCCCTCCAAAAACTGTGACCACCCAGGCCCCTGGGAGGATTTGGAGGGTAGATGCCTTTGGGAGTTGGGGTTTCGAGCATGGGGTTAAGGGTTGAAGAGAGCAGATTTTCCTACAAGTCCACATTAGTAGCACATGGTACCAGATTGGCGGGATTGATTTCTAGAGCCTCCCGGCGGTCCGTGCGGGGTGCCTCCAGCCATCAACATGGACAGCTTCACCCTCAACCCTCAACCCCAAACCCATAATAAAACCAAAACTCCCGAAGCTTTGCCTCGTCGTCCTCCTCTGCTGGTCGCAGAGCTGCAGGGCGCGGCAGCAGTTTTCCGAGCGTTCCACCTGGGGCTTCGGGCATGTTTCTTAGGGGTTCAATGCTTTAGCATCTGGGCATTTCTGTGTTTGGGGCTGCGAAAACCGTAAAATCTTAAATCCGTAACGCGAAATTCCGGATCCCTGAAGCCCTGTACAAAGCCGTAAAAGCTCGAACCCAGCCCCAAAATGCAAACCCCTAAAACCATTTAGGAACGTAGGAGCACCTCAACCCCGTATCTTCCGAAAAGCCCTCACACAGCCGTCGTAAAGCCTTCTAGCATTCTAACAGATTCTAAAGCCCCCACAGAAACTCATAAAACAACTTGTGCGGAACCACAGCTTCCTGCCTCCAGAGCCGCATGGAGCGAAGACACTTTCCTGAGAAGCAACGAAGAGAGGCGGGTTTGAGGATCTGGAACCTTCGGGTTTAATCTGGAACCTTCGAGTTTTGGGATTTAGGATCTCAGGCTCTCAGACTTTGTAGATGGGGGTCCAGGAAGCTTGGGATCTTGTGTCGTTGAGGGTTTCGGGATAAGGATCGTAGAAGTCTCCAGAGAAGTTTGAGTTTTAGGGGCTGATTATTACAGCTTGAGGGTGAATCCTAATCCCCAAACCCTCAATCCCCAGCCCTAACTGGCCCCTCCACCGGAAACGCCGAAGCCCTGTTTTTGGGGATAGTGGGGGGAGGTCCGAAGAGTATAAGCAGACTCGGAGCCCTGTGGAATCATGCTACTACGGTTGATGATATAAATCCTGCATTACCCTTACGATTTGTGGCACAAGCTGATTTGGATTTACAAATGTCGAATATCTAGTCGTCCTCTTAGGGACGTTCTATAAATGACTCAGAAAAGAATCAATCCAATATTCTGTGGCATAACACACTCACGACTTTTTCGCTCGAAAGCGTCAAACGGGGTTTCCAAGTGCATGCCGCACGCACAATGTGGCACACCGCCACAAGAAAGAAGCACTTCGCTTAGAGAGCACTCCGCTCGCCCCAGGGTTGGGTGGGTGGGAAAATAAATTTCGCAGTCTTGAGCTCTAACTCCGAGCCAAGACTTTGCAGCATAACCTTGTTCAAATCTCGTGCGGCATGTGAAACGTGAAACATATTTCAAGTAGTTGAAAATCCAAAATCAGCAGTTTTTCTGTACTTCCAGAAAAACCAAAAGCGCCTACAAATCGTAAAGCGAAATCATGCAAGCATGAGTTGAAGCTTACGATTTGTGGCACAAGCTGATTTGGATTTACAAATGTCGAATATCTAGTCGTCCTCTTAGGGACGTTCTATAAATGACTCAGAAAAGAATCAATCCAATATTCTGTGGCATAACACACTCACGACTTTTTCGCTCGAAAGCGTCAAACGGGGTTTCCAAGTGCATGCCGCACGCACAATGTGGCACACCGCCACAAGAAAGAAGCACTTCGCTTAGAGAGCACTCCGCTCGCCCCGCTTGACCTGAGTGCTCTTAGACGAAGCGCTGAAGCACTGTACCCGTCAGAGGACAACAAGGATCATCGATCGCGCACTCCGGGAAGGCTCTCAAAAGGCCCTCCCATCGACCTCTTGATGGTCCATCAGAGATATTAGAGTGCGAAGGAACACGACTGAACCATTGCAAGGCAGGCAGTGAATCAGCTTTCTCGAGTGCACACAAGAGCTTTCTCCAGGTATCTTCTTTGGAGGATCCGCTTATGCAAGCTGCAAGCACCCCGCTGTGATCGACGAAATAAATGACCCTGGCACCGTCCAGGACGTTCGCCCAGCACGATCTGGCAATGATGACAGCGAACATCTCAACCTGTCCTATGAGGTGTCGCTTGCCCTTGGCATGCCAAGCTTCAAGCAACGTCTTCGGAACAAGCGAGCCAAAGGCCCTTACCTTCAAGCCTCCACTAAGCGAAGGAGCGAACATCACCCCCCCCACACCGGCGGGGTTTGCAGCATCCGGCTCAAAGCAGCCGTCAGTGAAGATCACGATAGGACTAGTCGCAGCTGAAGCTGAAACAGTTCTCGGAGCTCCGGACACAACGCGCTCCTTCAAGAGCAACAAAGCTTCAAGATGCTGAGCTGTGAGGTTGACACGCGCAGCAGAACACCTCTCAAGACTTCTGAGATCATGAATCGCCAACCTGCCCATTCTGCCAAGGATCTGTGCCTCGGCGAACTGAAGTCTGCCGAACAAAGAAGGCAACTCGCGAGGTGCGACGTGCCCTCTGGTGATAATCTCCTCAATGGCAGCGGCGATGGCCTGCGACCTCGATGGTTTGTTGCACACAGACACGCCCGACATATCTTCCGCCGACGTGTCTATGACAACTCCCAAAGTTTCCGAGCGCGTCGAAAAAGGCTTATCCTTATCATCAGCAATCCTAAACCCCAAAAGGCGCATCACTGAAGTAAAGGCTGCAGCCGTGCTGTTGCCAAGGAGGCTCGGCGTCACTACTGGATAGTCATCATAATAAAGCGCCGTCAAGATCTCCATCTCAAGCATAATCCTTCTCAGCAAAGCCGAAACTCTGTTGAAGTGAAGAACAGATCCACAGGCTCCGAAAGGAAGAGTGTTGCATATGTAGCCGGACGGCTCGGTCTGTGAAGGATGTCGAATGGTCACAATCGCCTTACTTTGTTCCTCCGGTGCGAGCGGAAGTTGTTTGTAAGCAGATTTAAGATCAAACGTTGTAGTGACAGGCCTGATCTTCTCCTTGTCGGTCCAATGGTCATGCAGCTTGCCTTTCAAGGTTTCGCCCGAGCTCAGATGCAAAGTGACATCGCCCCTAGCAGAGGCAGCCTGCATTATCTTGGTGCAAATCCAAACCACCTCGTCCAGAGCCCTAAGGGGAATCTTCTCATGGCAGCCAAAAGTAGCATTGAGTCCCGACTCGCTAAGATCATCGATCGGCCTCCACTTGTTTTGCCATACAGCGAACCTTCGGCACGGCATCCACTGGCCTTCAAAGCGCTCCTGGAGCTCAGAGAATGACAAAGGACCCTCGAGCCACCCTTTTCCTCCAGAAACACCGGTTTCGCCCAGCGTGATTTCGGCCAACTCCGCATCGTACTCCTGAGCCGGCTGCTCCCTCACCCGTGCCCAAAGCTGATGCTTCAAAACTTCGGCAGCGTCCCAAAATTGCTCCTCCGAAGATAAGGCAGGCTTGTGGTCTGGCTCAAAAACACCCGTAGGATCAGGAGCTCCTGACAACTTGAACCCTGCACATAGGTCGCGATGCAGGTGCTTGTCGGGCCAGTCAAGAGATTTTGCAATCTTGTCAAGAAGAAGCAGCTTCTTTCCTTGAAGAACCTTGCGTACCGAGGGATGAAGGGAGGCCTGGAGAGCGGCCTCATCTGAGCGAAGGTCCTTCGCCCACTGGTTCCACTTTTGCAGCAGGAGCAACCTGTTTCGCATGATGCATAAGGGACCTTTCGTCAATGTGTCAAAAAGCACACGAACAAGCTTGTCCGGAAGAGCTCTGGCGGCATCAAACGGATGCTGAAGTGCGACAGCCTGATACACAAATTGCACCGGCTCGCGATACACACCGAACACATACTCAGTATGGCGAGGCTTCTGCAAAGAGATGTTGGTCGCTTGCTGCGCGGATTCCTCAGTCGCCCCCCCTTCGGAAGCGGAAGAGCGCAGGAGGCGGGCGTGTTTGGGCACGCCGTTCCACGAATGTGTCAGCTGGTTCTTGGCATCCAAAGGTGGATGGCCCGCACACCGTAAGCGCTGCGTGTATGCAAACTCTGGCACAAGCGGTGGCAGCTTGGACGCCTTCGGCTGGTTTTGCGCCGCAGCGCGCACCTCGGGGAGACTAAGAGGGGAGGGGCCTAAACCCAAGGCAGCAACCTGAGTGGACAAGGCAGCAGCAAAACGATCGCAAAAGAGTTTGGCTGGCACGGCGTCGGCTCTGTCAGCCGCGGAAAGCGGGGACAGGTCACACAGGGTGTACACCAAACGAAGATGCTGGATCCTGTGTAGGTCAGACACCAGATACACCGGCGCCTCCGAAGTGACCTTGAGCAGGTCGGCGAAGGGAGGCAGCTCCCAAAGCCAGGAAGACATGGGATGCATAAGCGAGAACGGTACCTCAAGTTCACGAGCCCGAAGCAAAAAGGCCCCCAGCTGAATGAAAATGCGGTTGGCCGACTGTAGACGGGCCAGAGCCGAGGAGTCCTGACCTGGCACACCCCACGGGTGGGAAGCACTTCGAAGCGACGATTTTGCACGTGATCGTCGCGTCGTCCCAGAAGGGGGAGTTACATGCACATGAACAACGTGTCTGTTTTCAAGAACGGTCGTCAAGTACTCCCACGAGGCTGGCAGCGTGAGGTCGAGGCCGACAACATGCACATAAGGCTTAGTGCGATTCCCGTGAAAATCAACCGCCAAAGTGTCTATGTTTGCAGCTTTGACGGAGGCTGACAAAAGGCCTGACCCGGCGCAGAGTTGGATCACAAGAGGGGCACCACGGGAGCTCTTTGCCTTTGGAACCAAGGAGCTCGAAGACAGTCCTGAGAAGGTACTATGCGACCCAAGCTGACACAGAGAAGTCGCCGTATCCTGACAAGGTAGATTGAAACCCGCTCGTAGCAGCATCTCTGCAGCCTGGTCTGGAATCTCGGCGGGGGCTTTGACCACAAAACCAATGAGAACGATACGTGGGCCCTGAGTCCAAGGCAACGTAAGGTGCTTCTTATGCGGATCAAAGGCAAGAGTTAAGTCGCTGAAGTCGAGGTGTGAGCCCAGAAGAGAAGGATCGGTGGGGCACACAATGCTTCCGCTTGAATCCTGGACCCACAAACCCCCACCACTAAACCCCGAAATCTTAACCAAGCCGTTCAGATAGCCCAGTGCATTGTTTGCATCCAAATGCAAGGTCGTTCGCACGTTGCGAGTCAATGACAATGTTGTCACGGGAAGCCTCGGGTGGTATTCCTTGAAGACTTTTGCAAGGAATGCAGAAGTCACGGGAAACTGATGCATATGTTGTCGGCATCCGTGCACACCTCCATGCACGTACGCACCTGTGCTCCAGCTGAACTCGTCCTCAGAATTGTTCCCTCTTGCCGGAATCTCACTCTCCAGCAAATCGCACAAGGTCACAACATCCCTGAGATCTAAAGGCTTCTTAAGTGATGCGGCAGCAGAAAATTGCTCAGGATCTTTGCAAAACAAAGGCGCTGAAGCGACATGCTCAGCAGCGAAAATCGAAGATTCAGAATCCGACCCCTCGGCCGAATCAGCAACTTGTGCAATAGCACGGTCCCTTGACCGCGCTCGCTTGGACAAGCCCACTCCGAGCTGCCCACTACTCATTGCCGATGGCATCTCCGCCACCTCGTCTCGACCCACCTGGAGTCAAGACCCGGCCTTCTTCAGGGCCGCATACTGTGGGCAATCAAGTGCTGGATGCGCGCCCCCGCACTTCGGGACGGCGCATACGTGCAACCCCTTTGGGCAGCGACCTCCCTTCACTTGCTCAGAGCAAGTTTTCAAGCCGTAGCCAAAACATATTGGGTCGCCCCGATTGGTGCACGCCTTGCAGCCAACAAGCTCCTTGGGCATCCTCGGTGTGCTCTTGCCTGTGCCTGGGCTCTTGCCTTTCCGACCACCCTTTGAGGGGCGATCGTACGGGCTCCAGCGTGGCTTCGGAGGCGGCTCCACACGACCGCTAGGCTTAGGCAACGGCTGCATCACATGTGTGACCTCTGGCAAGTTGAAGACTTCTTCAAAGCAGTCGTCCAACGGGCGACCGACAGCGGTGGCCTGGACTCCATCGCGAGTCCTGTCCGCTAATTCCTGGAAGAATTTCTGGTCCGCCGCCTCCAATTGGGCAAACGACACTTGCGAATGCGTGTCGAGTTGGGCCGCCATCCTCGTCTCTATCAATTTTTCGGCCCACCTGCGATGCAAACGAAAGTCGA